AAATGGCACGTGGATGGTCGTGATATTTTTTGCATGAACCGTCGCCGTGACCATTTGTATGGTGTGCATGTAAACACCTTTCACTCTTACCAACCACGCGCACCCAAATGCATCCATGACACCCACTATGTGAATGAATCCGAAATAAACGAGCTCAGACGTGAACATGAAGATGAGCATGTACTATCTCTGCACTGCGATCCGTGAAAACGGCTGGTCCTCAGAACTCAGGTGGTCGTGACAGCGTATGAGGAGACTAAAACATACTAAGACGCGCGGCCATTATATGTCTGCAGTGCGCACTGTGAAAAGTACGTCAATCGCCAGGGCCATCGCGATCTACCCCTACCCCCCCCCCCATTGTCCTTCCCAGTTGCTCGGCAGGCGCTGCAATGTTGTCCGGGCCTCTGTTACCGTACCGGGGCCCTCGCAACAACTCTCGGGCCCCTCACATTGATCTTGCGTTGTTCCCACTTTCTAGAAGGTCTTGCGCTATGGTCAGAGCCTTATAAACAGGGGTGTCGGCACGTATTGTTTCAGGACCGACGTCCCGCATTCTCCTGTCGTTTCCCTCTATCTGCGCATTGTTGAATGTTGGCGGACAGCCGCAGCGTAGTTGCGAATGTACCACAGCCATCACAGAATGCTCATAATCACGCGCGGGGGGCCAAATCATGTGCTTTTTGCAATTATGTGACAGGGCTATCACCTGGCAGCGTAGCACTCCGCTCTGCATTCCGCAGTAGCAGAAGGTGCCTATTGCATTGATAGGACCTCCTGACAGCGCATTACCGACTGCGGGTGGGCAGCCGAAGGGTGGAGCTATTGAACAACTGTAGCCTTTTAGAAATACTTATAGTCGTGCTAGGAGGGCCAAACCGTTCATGTTTGGTAGCATTACGGGAGAGCTTTCAGCGGGCACCTTACCATGGTTCGAAGGCAGCTGTGTTCCCAGCTTGATCCCCCGACTGGGCATTATTGAGTGTTGGTGGCCAGCTGGAGCAGAGTGGAGAGACGTCAGCCGTTTAACTGGAAGTGCGGGTCAGGAAGCAATCAAAATCACATCCCTCTCAACGTGATGTTGGCTTTCCGTGTGACTTTTTCGCATCTTTGTGGCCAAAACAGACCTCTCAGTTATAAGCTGTACCATGCAAGTCATTTTTTGGATCCCGGTCATTTCATGGGATCTTACCATGCACAAATTTGGGTGTCAAACGAAACAATCTCGATTTCGGGGGCCCAACACGATTCAGTAGACCAACAGTAGACCAAACGTTGTTAGTCATACAATATTCATCATGTGACCGCTGAACAAGTTGTGTCAATCTCATATTTAAATTGCGGGGAAAAGGCGTGTGGGCTTACGGTTGACGGGTTAAATCAGCGAAAACGTGAGGCATGCATCCACCAATTAGGTAATCATATCGGTTGATCAGTCTTTAACAAGCAGGTCCGCTGGGCCGAAAAAAACGCTTAAATTGCTGTTAAATGCGCTCAGCCTTGAATTACGCTTGTGATATTTCGCAATCAAGGAAATTCAAAGTTTTTGAGCTTTAGCGCCAGCAGCTCAAGATCGTTTTTCGCTCTGTCTTTTGGAATGGATAAGCACGAATGAACGATCGAATTGGAAGATCGAAAACGCAATGCATGCGCCGGTAATTCGCGGCTCACTATCGTATGATAGAGCCCCGTAAATTTCAAGGGCGAGCTAAGAGATACGCTCCTCTTAGCAAACGAGAAGGAGGCGGCTGTCCCCTTGCCCTGGCGATGGCAGCCCTAGGTGCCTCCTTAGGGTCAGTACCCAGTAGTAGTTAGCTGCAGTAGTAGTTAACTGCGGCAGTAGTTATTTGCAGAGGCTTCGAATTAGGTCATAACAGTATGAACTAGCAGGTACTGATTGTCAGTCGTGTGCTGGTGTTGTAGGCAATACTAACGTTTGAAACCTGTCATCAATCACTACCAAGACAAAGATTCTAGGACAAAAATGTGCTTAGAAAAAGGACTTGTGCATTATGTAAATTCATACCCAGTTCTTCGTCAACAGATGTGCGTATTAAGCATGATGTGAAGTGCGCATGGTTAAAAAAACATGCACAAAGCTATTACCAAAGACCTCGTACATAAATGTTTGCATAGTATAAAATATGCCTGCAAAACATGTGTTATGGCAAAAGGTCGACGGGAGGTAAATATTTCTGGAAAATAGTTCGCATGCATACATTAACACACAAAACTCATGTTAAACCAACTTAAGCACGGGGGCAAGCGAAAGGTTCGAGAGTCCATACTTCCCTGGATTCAGCCTCAGTGCGTTATTTATGAATACTGAATACAGTACGAAACATTCATACACCTCTTTTTCCTTTCCCCAGGTTATTCGACGAGGAATGAGGTTATCAGTATTGCCTTATGCATGTGCAATGTTCCTCACATTTGCGCCGGACTATTTATGCAACTTTCAAGGGCATGGGCAAAGGCATTTGTTAATGCACATAATATAGATAACGCATATAATGTAGATAATGTAGATAATACAATGCACATAATGTAGATAACGGATTATACACGTAAATAAAACCCACGTGAAGAGAGATTGTACAAAAACACGCTTAAAACAGCGAGGGCTTGTGTTGGCTCAGTTGGTGTCCCCTCCTCCTCCATCTTATTGCTATGGAGATCAGCATTAGCCGCGGCAGACAGCACCGTGAATGAATTGTGTGAAGACCCCAAGCGCTTTTGTAAACAGGCTCCTGACAGCCATCCTGACGAATGATGCACGAAAAATACAGCGTTATTTTCGCTGATTATGGATTTAGATGGACCATGAATGCGGCGAATGAAAAGCATAAGACAAGTCAAATAAAGGCAACCGTTTGCTGGTGGCGAACGGTGGCATATATTTTAACTCTTTCATTTCGCGGATCTTTTTTTAAATGCGGTAGTTTCAGCGTCATCTGCGGGGGAGTCTTTGCTGAAGAAGCGCTTCCAGTTGCGAAATAATGTTAGTTCTACAGTCATAATTGTGCAACAATATTGGATCTAAATCTTACGTAATCAGACGGCCCTCTTTTAGAGCGACAAACAGCTTTTGAGTTGTTCGAGACATGGTTTTTCATCCCTTTTTCACTTCTGTGAAGCATGCCGCATAGGAAGCACACATGAATGGTTTTGGCACGTCGATGTTGTACAAAGGATCGTAGACTGTCATATGGATTCACAGTTCTATGCATAAACCCTCAGCTGATAACGAGGAGGGTGGTGCACCCCCCCCCCCTCCCCCGAAGTTTCTGAGGATATCTCTTTGGAACGTGCAATCGCGCCGAATGGTTCGGCATTCTATGACCATTCATTCTGTGTTTTGACGTCAAACACGTCCCTCCATCGATCTGGTTTTTGAAAATGTGTTTATTTGGGGTACTACAAGGTCCACGGCCGGCCGGCGCGAGCGGGGAGCGGCAACCGACAGATCCGCCGATGGTGCACAGCGGTCAACACTGTTACAACAACAGAGCTATGCATAATAAACATAGTCTTAAAACACATATTATATATATATATATATATATATATATATATATAGGAATGTATTCGGATTCCTATATATTTTTTTCGGTTATATATATATATATATATATATATATATATATATATATATATATATACATAACACGTTTGTATAAACTGTATGCCATTTAGCTTCACTGTTACGTGAACATGGGCATGCAAAGCTGAAGAACGTCGTTTCCTAGAAGGATTTACATTTGATCTGTCCGAGTGCGGTAAAATATGGACCAAGAGACATCAAAGTGGCTACTAATCGCGAGGTCGCGTTGATTTTCCGCGGGCCTGTTTCTTTCTTCGTTTGGTAAAGAGAGGGATGACATCGACCGCTCCCCATCCTCATGAAAAACGGGAATTTGGGGCGAAGTTTTAATGACGCCATACGACGGGGTATCCGAATACATTCCTAGCTTGTAAATGCCGTTGCATACACATATATAGGTTGGCTAATAAAACCTGCTGGTATAGCTAAATCGAAAGCAACAGAATGATCAGATAACCTTCTGTCAGCTCGGGGCGTTATCATCAGGGATGTCTTGTTAGCCCTGTGACCCGCTTACCAAGGCATAAGCCGCGCCCCTGTGAACGTTACAGGCTGCATTCCGTGCAATATTAACGGAATAGAGGGGTACGCGCATGCGTATTCGAATTCGCACCTTTACGAATGCGTTGCTTGCATCATGGACATACAGAGACGCTCAGCGCCCCCATGAGGATGATGCAAGTCATTACTTTACAAAAACGTAGATGCGAAAAACTGGCAGTGGCTGATTTGCCCAAAACTAAAACATTCCACAAAATTCAAAACGGGAAATGGGTAACTGTTTTGCATGATTTGGCATGCATGGGTCACATCAATGATAGATGAGAGATCACCTGCTCCGATTCTCTTAATTCGTACAGGAATAATCCTCCTAAAAACAGCTTAAAATTCAGGGAGAACAGGTTAGGCTCAGCAATTTTTCCCTATTCAATTCCCTCCCCCCCCCCCAACTGCCAGTACGTTTTGCAAAACTACCTACACCACTGCTTAACAGGCTTATGAGGTGGAGGGGTATTACAATTTTCCCTTGGTGCAGTCATTGTTTCACGCTGAAGCTCAGCGAGAGTGACTGAGAAGTTTATTAAAAATTGATGGAAAACTGACGCTGAAAAAACATGCCTCTGCAGCAATGTAGACAAAGCTGCTGTCATATAATTAGTAGTCTCGTTCCTTAGTGTCCTTGAACGTACCAAAACAAACAGCCAGACAAGTAGACTAAAAATATCAGTTATAAGACTTGATACAGTTACTTGAAGTTATGTCAAACTATATAACTGAATAAACACGATAAAATGTACTTTCAATCTGAAATGACACCATATTTCAAGGGATTGAATGCTTTTTAATAAATAAAGAACTATCAGTTTAATTTTCGTGTTCATTTCCGTGGGGGTCAGCAACCGCAAAACTCATCGCTCGTGGGGTGGGGGCTGGTGGGTGTTGTCAGTTTAGGCTGGGGAAAAATTGGAGGTAAGGAGCTGTTCCGCTCACCTGTTCTCCGATGCTTACAATGGCTACTGTGATTGGCATCTCCTGTCATGTTTTTGGTCATTTATCCGGGAGCGAGCGGCCCAAATCGACGTACGACTGACATGCGCGGGAACTCTATGGGGAACACGCCCCTTTGGTGGAATTTAGGATGTCATTATCTCAGGGATCTCCCCTCAAAATGGTATCGGGGTGCTTTTCTACGTTCATGGTGCCATTTCTGATGACCCGGTGTTGTGATTAGTTTGACAACTGCTTGTTTGCCAAGGGGAAAAGCTGAAAATGTTATGATACGATCGCGGCGCATATTAATGGCGCACCTGTTGCTGTTGGGTGATCTGGGTTTACAGGATGAGCATATAGGTAGAAAAGTAAGGAGAAGGAGCCAGATGCATTGTGTGCCTTGTATTACAAAGTAAATTATCATTTTTAGCATGGTAATGTACAATTTCATGGGCATGAGCATATCATATGCAGGATGATTGATGGTGTAGAAAGTAGGCTTTTCCATCCTATGTTTTGGAAGCTTGTTTGCCCTTTTGCAGCAAGGTGGATTTGGTTTAATTTATTAGTGGTTGTTTTCATTGTTAAAGTGTTCATCCATGGTTCAGATGATTCAATGTAGTAGCTGCATGTTACTAATCAAAAGAAGCTTTGCTGCATTATGCCAGTCTTTCTCTGCTTTGGTTGATCTCAAGGTTTATATTTCCTGTGATCAGATCAGCTATATCTGAGAGTTGTGGTTCAAACCAGGGTTGAGACGTCATACTGAAATATAATGGATCAGGATCAGGAAAATGTTTTTAAATGAGAAGAACTTTATATGTACATTTTTGTGTGAAATAGCAAGGGACATATCCTCTAGCCCTGTAGTGATGATACCCATGCTCACCACTAACACAAGCAAGCATTAGTGTGGCAGTATGGTTGCAAACTTGCCTTTAAAAACCACTGGAAGTGTAGTGAGCACAGGAAGGTTACCAGGGTATGCCTGCTGGAGGCAGGCCCATGCTAAATGTTCAGTGTGATGGCTGAGAAACAATGAGTGATATAAATTTGCTGCTGATAAGAGCTTGCAGTTTGCAATATGTATTATTTTGTCAAAGCAGTATTATGTTCAGACACTATGGGTAAGACACTAGCTTCTTCTATGAAGTTTTGGTATTGTGCAAGTTTTTGCTGATACAACTTGGGAGCTATTATCAGCAAGCGAGGGTATCAAACATCAGTTCAGTTTTTCTGTTACTGGCAGCTTTTTTATTCTAACAAAATTTTGGGGTATGCAGTTGGTTGTGGGCTTGTCAGAGTAGTGATTCCTCATATTTTATAAGATATTTAGTTTCAAGAGATATTTTTGCTATTCAGTGAATACAAACATGCAAAGTTCATGCAAAGCATTTGCACAGTCCCCACTTATTCTATGCAAGTTCAAAAATGTGTGTTATGTTGATTTGCAAAGAGGGCCATGTAGTCTGGCCTTTTTAAGTAGAATTAGTTGCAGCTAGATTTTACTCATGCTGGCCATGCTGCTTACCAAAACAACAAGCTGCTTAGCACCATGTCAAAGTTGCCTAGCCACAGTGTATATAGTGGTCATCAGCCATTCTTGGCATCACACATGTTGCCAGTAACACCTGTCCTCTGTGTTGCAGGCCTGGCTGCCTGCCCAGGATGGCGGTGGACCAATTCCTTTTGAAATGGAACAACCACCAGTCCAACTTTGTGGATGTGTTTGGCCAACTGCTGGATCAGGTATGTCATCCTCTCATATGTGGGTTCTAGCATGTTGCTCCTCAGAAGTTTATTTGTTTGACAACAGCTGTATATACAACAGTACAGACTATGCATTGACTGAGGGCATTTGCCAGAGCTGTGAGGAATCTGAGGGTTTTGAGACTGTTGAGAGCATTTAAGGACATCCATAATGTGATGGTGTTCTTATGGCTGATGTTGAATAATGACATGACGTGTCCTAATTAATCACTTTTCCTGAACAACCAAAAACCATGACCTTTACTAGCAGGATGCTATGTGCAGTAAAACTTTAACATTTAGCTACTGAAAGAGCCCTGGGATCAATTTGCAGGTGCTAATAAATTCCATCAGCAAAGGGCAGGTGTTATGGTGTCAGTGTGCTGAAAATGCAAACGGCAGTGGCAACCAAAGGTTAAGCAGTATTCTTTACTTGCAAGGGACAAAAGACCCCCCCCCCCCCTCTCTCTTTTTAAAGTGAAGCCAGCATCTATGGCTCTGAGCATTCAGGCTCACTGCCACATGCTCCTCCCTTGCAGGCACAGGTTGTATTATGTTGTGTATTACATTGCCTAGTGATGTCACAGGGCACAAGCTGAGAGGCAGCAGACAGAGCTATGTCCGAACTGAGCAGGTGTTCATGAGTGTGCCTGGTCCTGACATTGCATGCTTGGGCCACGCCACTATGTGAAACTTTTAATAGTGCCTTGGGAGAGTATGGGTGCTGAATAATCACTGTGGTCAGGGTGTCCGAAAACCCTGTAACCAGTAACAAAACTAGATGTAGCCTGACTGCTGTGTGTTTTTAAATGGTGTGGCATGCAATGTTTCATCCTCATTGTTCACATTAACCCAGCACTGCCTGGGTTACTTCACCTCCTGGGGTCACCTGGAGGGGGGAGGGGAGGGGGCGGAATGGCCGCCTGGCTCGCATTTGGGGGCCTAACCACCAGAATAGAAATTTCGAATGGCAGTCAGTGTCCCTGGTCAACATTGTGCAAGAAAAGGCATGTTGACATCTGCCACGCACAGTTCGCGACATACATCGTTCAGTCCAATATCATCGTCTGCCAGAAAAACGGTAATTATTACCCAAGTACTTGGAAGGCATCAGGGCCGTCCAGCCCCTGCGTTATTAAGGGAGCAGCTTTGTACTGGCATCGGAGCCGTTGGTTCAGCAGCTTTCTTACCTGGGGGCGGGTGAAGTTTCACAAGATAATGGGAAGGGGGGCTGGGGGAGGAGGGGGAGGCTGAACAGAGAAAATGGCTAAAGCTGTCCGCAAAGGAGAACAACGACTCGCTCCCCGGATTTCTGTTCCCAAGGTTGGGGGAGCTAGAGCCCTCCCCTCCCCCGTCCTTGGCGTGAATGAGTCTGAAACTGTCAAGAAACGATAAAAACCTTCGAGTTGTGAATTGGGATGTTGTAAGAGGCCACACGGCTTGGTATATCCTGTTGCCATCAGCTTTTCAAGTTAGGAGTCAGGATGAAAGTAGCAGATGTAGGTGTGCGTTCATAAACCAGTCGCATTAGGCATCAATTCAGGTATTAATTTCTTAAATGCCCCCTCCACGTATACGATAAAAAACATGCCACTTGCGCACCTTAACGTCGAGTGTTAGCCTACCTCAACGTCCCAATTGCTTCATTAACTAACCAAACGAACCGCTACGACTGCCGTGTGTTTTGGGCATCAGGAGCTCTTCGACACACTTCCGTCTCTTCGAGGCGCGAATGGCTAAGAAGTGGTAGAACACATTGAGATGCGACTGCGCATGCCGGTGAGGTGTGTTTTCACTGCATCGTTCGCCACTTTCCTCGACTTCTTTCGGGGTTTCTCCATTTTGGAAACCGTGGCCCGTTGCTCAGAGTCGGGTTGGGTTAGGTTGAACTTTGGCCTGTTACTCACGCGGGGTCAGCAACTTCACTGGTCGAGGTTATCAACTCAGGTCGCACACCGAAATTCGCCTGATGTCGCCGTGGGTTCGGTTGACACCTAAGGCGCCTGTTGTCATGGTGGATTCGACTGGCACCTAGGCGCCTTGTTCCACCGTGGGTTCGATTGACACTTAAGGCGCCTGATATCACGGGAAGATAGTGAAGCCTGTGTGTTGTGTGGGGGGGGGGGGGGGGGGTAACTATGTCATGGATCGGCATGACCACCCCTACCCTCCCCCACTACACTCCCGTCAACAGGCGGCGGTAGTCCGTAGTTGCGGTAGTCCGAACCACTCGGCTCCCAGGATTGGTATCCGCGAGACGGGCCGCATTCGGCGGAAACCCGGGTCGTGATGATTCACGGCCAAGCAACGCAGGCGCCTTGGTTTTTGTTTACTGTCATCTGGGCCTGGCGGCGTCACTTAACGAAACACTGACCGCCATGAGGACTTCGGCGTGGGTGCGCTCCCATCGTGATAATGACGGAACGATACTCGGTCTGACAGAAAGCCCCAGCCCTCATTTTCTCTGTTGTCGGCGGAAAGAGATGAGAATACCGTTGACGCAAAGGAATTTCACCGGTCTTGTGGCAACAAACAGCGACAGGGCATGCGATGTTGCTGGCCGTAATGGACGCCGTATGGCCAGTGCAGCCGGTACGCCCTAAAGCCCCAATCATCATCAGCTCCTGGTTGTGGCGGCTGTTCACTGTGCGCCGGTGTGAAACATGCACAATTGCGCGTTGCGACGAAGGGAGGGGATGTGCCGAGGCGAAGGGTCGGCGTGTGCCGAGGCGAATGAAGGGGGTGTGCCGAGGCGAAGGGAGGGTATGTGTCGAGGCGAAGGGCCTGCGTGTGCCGAGGCGAAGGGAGGGGATGTGCCGAGGCGAAGGGAGGGGGTGTTGCCGAGGCGAAGGGAGGGGTGTGCCGAGGCGAAGGGAGGGATGTGCCGAGGCGAAGGGAGGGGGTGTGCCGTGGCGAAGGGACAGCGTGTGCCGAGGCGAGGGGAGAGGGTGTACAGAGGCGAAGGGTCGCTTTCGTCGGGGCGCAGTATGTCTGCGTTCGGTCGTTTGGCGACTACCCAGTCAAATTTGACCAAGGCTACATACCGAGTGGCCTATTATCGCGTGGTCTGCAGCCAGTGTCACAGTCGGTGCCTGCCAGTGAACGCCGTACATTAAACGTCTGCGTGACATCTCACGTGAGGAGCAGTTGCCACAGTCGGTGCGCGCCAATGACCTCCGTAAATAACCCGTCGGCGTGAGACCTGGCTAGTGCTCGAGGCGCGCTGTGCGGTCATCTGTCTAGTGGGCAGCTGTGTCGACGCCGCTCTGTGCAGAGCTGGCCGGCAGACCGAGCCGTCTCCCCATAAACACCGACGAACCGACGTCTCAAACTGCTCGGGCTGATACATGACGATGCAAATTATCTGATGTACGCGCGGCTGGGCTGAACATGAGCTACGCCACGCTTCCGTGTGACGACAGGTGGGCTGGGATCGCGGGCAGCCCACACTCTTCTCCCGCGCAGATTGTCTCGGGATGGCATACGGACTCCCTTTCGCACTTCCGACGTACTGCCGTTTTGTTTTCACTCTGTCACTCACGCCGGCCTGGAATGTAATGGGATGTTCTGCCCGACATTGGAAGGGAACAAAGGCCGCTCCCGGCTCCGCCGCAACAGGTGTGTACAATGAATCGCTGCCGGGCCAGCGCCAAGGCCCTGGGAGCGCCCCTCCCCCTCCCCCCACGCCTGCGGGCCGACCTTGAGCTGCGCCGGTCACGTGACTGCGGCCGACTGGGCGGAGTTGCCCCCGCGCCGTCCGTCCGAGCCTGGACTGGGGACGTAGAGGGACATGCCGTCAGCGGCGCACGGACGGGCCTGCTCGGTACCGTATGGCCGTCAGGGGAGGATGGGGGCCGGGCTGGGGACGGAGAGGGACACGCCGTCAGCAGCGTACGGGCCTTCAAGGGAGGGTGAGGCCTGAACTGGGGACGGAGAGGGATACACCGTCAGCAGCGCACGGGCCTTCAAGAGAGGGTGAGACCTGGACTGGGGACGGAGAGGGATACGCCGTCAGCAGCGCACGGGCATCCAGGAGAGGGTGAGGCCTGGACTGGGGACGGAGAGGCACACGCCGTCAGCAGCGCACGGACGAGGCCTGCTCAGTACTGTCAGGCCGTCAGGGGAGGGTGGGCCTGAAATGGGAACGGAGAGGGACACATCGTCAGCAGCGTACGGACGGGGTCTTCTCATTACTCTTGCCATCAGGGGAGGCCCGAGCGCACCAGCAGCGGCTGCGGCAGCGACGAAACACGACACTCGCGGGCCGTAGTGCCACGTGACGAGAATGTAGCAGTTGGGAAAATAAACATGCTTTAGCATAAGTACCTTGAATATTAAGCGATTAAATAGACAGCGAGGATGATTGCCATCAATTTCGATAGGACTTCAGGTGCAGGCGCTGAAGTGTAAAGCTCAAAACTTTGAGTAGAAGTACTCAATCCTTCGGGTACAGGCGCTCTACACTTATAAAGGCTCGACGAAGACGCCTCTAAGCGCGTAGTGACACGTCATCGAACGCGAGGCTAGGCCTGGTTACACGCGGCGCCATGAGCATAGTTTCTGCTGACGATGTAGGGGATGTGTTGGAGCCTTCCCAGATATCGCCTAAACAGTTGGTGACGATGGCGTTCGAATCCAAAGTGCCTCTAGGTTGTTTATTTTCTCCTAGCTGCACAGGAGCTTTGGATATGAGTCGGACACGATGGCACCGTGCCAGCTGTGGGTGTGTCGTCGCGCGCTATCAACACATCAATGCTGGCAGATGTAACATTAATATTAATATTTGTCTGACAAAACTGCGACATTTCTGCGCAAGGAAATGACATTCTGGGAGATCTGGGAGCATTTGACGACCGAGTTTGGGCCTACGGAATGAATGTCTCAATCTGGCAGTTTCTTAGAATCGGGCGAACGGCCTGGTTCCCGAAATAAGTGTTTCATCCACAAAGAAAGTAGCACGAAAAACGAATGATAAGGCAAAATAACCATAACAGGGCCTTCAACACTCTGCTACTGCGCAGTGTTATGCATGTAAAGGGTACCGTGAGAAGCACGCCATATCTGTCCTGGCGCGGAAAATGTTACTGTTTAAGGCAATATTGTCCATACATACCGTGGCTTCAAGGGGAATGTAGAAAAAAATGGGTCAGGAGACGGCAAACTTTCCACACGTGTCTCTGAAAATTAAGTATGATCCGCTGCACGTGCTGCAGTTGTCAGCTGTTGCGGACTAGAGCTGAGATATTTAAGCTCTCAGGCTTTGAAATTATGAGCTAAGAAGCTCAAACGGGGAACTTCTTTTCCCCAGCAGCTGACGTCCGCAGAATCCAGTGCGGATCCTGCGGTCTTGAGGTGCTGCGGACTAGAGGGATATTACCTTCCGCAGGGCCGCAAGCGGGTGAACGACTCGACCTGAGCGGTCCGCAGGTCGAGTCGTCGCAACTGCACGCGTCCGCGTGGGACAGCCGGTGGTAGCGAACAATGCAATGGCCTCCCCACAAACCCCCACAAATGTGTTCCCCCACCGGCTGTGTGCGGCCGCCACGCCGGCCTGCCGCCCCCCAGCCCGCCGGGACCGGGCCGCGGCCGCTGATGTGCGTGGCGCGCCGCTCGGCAGGAGGCCTTCACGGACGTGACGCTGGCCGCCGAGGGGCGCACCTTCCTGGCGCACAAGCTGGTGCTGTCGGCCTGCTCGCCGTACCTGCGCGACATACTGGAGCGCAACCCGTGCAAGCACCCGGTGGTGTTCCTGCGCGGCGTGTCGGCCGCCGAGCTGCACACCCTGCTGCAGTACATCTACCGGGGCGAGGCGCACGTGCGCCAGGACCAGCTGCCCGGTCAGTGGGCGGCGCCGCCGGCAGGGGCCCCTCTCTCTCCTAGCTCCTCAGTCGGCGCGCGGTCATGGACGAACGCCCCCCCGACTGGGGCGCCGTGGCTGGTGATTGGTGCGGCGGTCCGCTGTCTTGATATCTTTGCGGTTGGAACAGCGGTTTTCGATGCGGAAGCGGATGACAGCTCTATCGTGTGTTGGCTTGACGTGTATTGGCGACGGAGCGTGGCCAGCGACGTCCTGACCCTTATGGTCTGGCGCCGTCTGGTCTGTCGTGCCCCGTGGGGTCTGCTCTGTCGGTGCGCGACCGGTGCTGACGCCGCCTCCGACCCCGGCCCTGCCCTGCAGACCTGCTGCGCACGGCCACCGACCTGCAGATCAAGGGACTGGCCAGCGTGGGCGGCGAGCGGCCGGCCGCCGAGCCGCAGCTCAACCCGTACCCGTCGCCCCCGCTGAGCACGCCGAGCCGGGTGCCGCCGGCCGGCCTGCAGGCGCGCGCCGCCGCCCTGCCCACCGCGCTCAACATGAGCACGCCGCCCGGACCGGCCGTGCTCGACTCGCTGCGGCTGCCGCTGCTCAACAAGGTGGGAGGGATGGGTGCCTGGCGTCGGACTCCGGGACTTTAAGCTTGGCGTCTCAGAAATAGCGTTCTCGATGGTCTGTACCGTCGGTGGTGTGTCACGGCCTGGTAACCTGGATGCCTTCTACAGATCCCCCAGCAGCATCCATTGCGTGTCTGTCTATGTCCGCCATGGCCCCGCCACCACCTCGCTCCCATTATGACTGGTCAGCGCCGGTCCTGAGGGCCTCTGTAACCAGTCATGTCCGCCGTGGCCCCGCCACCACCTCGCTCCCATTATGACTGGTCAGCGCCGGTCCTGAGGGCCTCTGTAACCAGTCATGTCCACCGTGGCCCCGCCACCACCTCGCTCCCATTATGACTGGTCAGCGCCGGTCCTGAGGGCCTCTGTAACCAGTCATGTCCGCCATGGCCCCGCCACCACCTCGCTCCCATTATGACTGGTCAGCGCCGGTCCTGAGGGCCTCTGTAACCAGCCATGTCCGCCGTGGCCCCGCCACCACCTCGCTCCCATTATGACTGATCATCGCCGGTCCTGAGGGCGTCTGTAACCAGTCGTGTGTCGCCTATTGCGACTGGTTGTTAAAGGTGGCCCTGTTACCCCTGTGTGATGCGGCGTCGCGCCCGGGACCTGCGGTGACTGCTGTGTGTGCCGCCGCCTGCAGCTGGGTGCCGCCACGTCTGAACGGGAGGCGGCGCCGCTCTCGCCGCCGCCGGCCGACGAGGACGTCCGCCCCGAAGACGGCGCGCTGCCCCTCATCACCTCGGTCAGTCGGTCAGGGAGGAGGACACTGCCCCTCATCACCTCGGTCAGTCGGTCAGGGAGGAGGACACTGTCCCTCGTCACCTCGGTCAGTCGGTCAGGGAGGAGGACACTGCCCCTCATCACCTCGGTCAGTCGGTCAGGGAGGAGGACACTGCCCCTCATCACCTCGGTCAGTCGGTCAGGGAGGAGGACACTGTCCCTCGTCACCTCGGTCAGTCGGTCAGGGAGGAGGACACTGCCCCTCATCACCTCGGTCAGTCGGTCAGGGAGGAGGACACTGCCCCTCATCACCTCGGTCAGTCGGTCAGGGAGGAGGACACTGCCCCTCATCACCTCGGTCAGTCGGTCCGGGGGAGGACACTGCCCCTCATCACATCGGTCAGTCAGGGGGGGCGCTGCCCCTCATCACCCCGATCAGTTAGGGGGAACACTGCCCCTCATCACTTTGGGTCAGAAGCGGGGGGGGGGGGTCGGCGCGCTGCCCCCCCCCCCCCATCATGCCACACTGAATTTCATGGCATGACAGTGCACTTATGGCATATGACACCGTATTTCACTCCATCAATACTTAGCTTCGCAGCATGTGTTCTGGGCGTTGCGAACTTGTGGAGCCGGCGTGAATAATCAATGCAGTTGGCGCACCCTGAAAACCAAATGGCAACTGCACGTGTGGAACCGTCCCGTGTTTTACTGAAGGGAATGCCTGTGCTTCTGACAACATGTCTGTTGGCTGGACGGATGGGAGGTGTGTTTGGATCTCACTGCTGTGTTTGACGCTGGCGCCGGGCTTCAGATAAAGACCGAGACGGACGACGAATCGCAAGGGCCGGCGGCAAACGTCGCTGGTGAGTGTGCCAGGCCCGGCCCCGGCCGTGGTCACCGGAGCCCAGAGAAGCGGCTGGGGAGGCGGACTGGGTTGTCATCGAAATAGTCCACTCGGCCGGCAGGCCACCACACACGACGTGTGGACGCTCTGGGCAGTTTGGTGCGATTTGCACGCAAACTGCACCCTCTGCATTCCTGTTTCCGCCATGTGTTGTACATTGTGCTATACATGCTTAGGGACGTATTGTCTCATTATTGCCTGCTTGCTGTACGTCTGCTAGAAGTTTTCAGCAATGTTTTGGTCATCCTGGCTAGCGTTTTGTTTCAGTCGTTCATGTGTTACGTCTGGCCACGGGAGGTAAACGTGTGCACCTTGCGCCAGATTTGTCCGAGGTGGTGGAGACGAAGTTCGGCGCGGAGGCGGCAAGCCCGGCGCGCCCGGTCAGCGGCATGGACAACACCCACATCCAGAGCCTGATCGCCCAGCTGGCGTCGCCCCGCTCGGCCACCGGCGGCGCCAAGAAGGTCGGTCCCGTGCCGCCGGTGGCGGCTTTGGCTAGGGTCCACTCAACACCCCCACGAGCCGAGGGGACGACCGGACCCGACTCGAGCCGGACCCGGACCCGGACCCGGACCCGGACCCGGACCCGGACCCGGACCCGGACCCGGACCCGGTCCGGCTCAACACCCCCACGAGCCAAGGGGACGACATGAACTGGCTCGGGCCGGACCCGGATCCGGATCCGGATCCGGATCCGATCGGTCCGGCTCAACACCCCGCGAGCCGGAGGGACGACCGGGCCCGGCTCCGGCTGAGCTGCGTCCGCCAGCTGTCACCCCCTAGCACCGCAGAGCCGAAGGGAGCCTGCAGCGGAACCTTGAAATGTGATGTAGAACTGAAGATTTTTTTGGCTGCCGCTCAAAGAACACCTCGAATGTGTACTCAGTGCACAGTCGGTGGACATCACTCATAGGGTTCAAAGCTAACCCCCGTCAACTTTGGAGTAGCGATCAGTTTAATCCTCCGTCTTTTCCCGGTCCCTGGCTTCGTCTGACGTCCCTGCCGCGGCTCACGCAGCCCGCAGTATGCCGGGACCGTCAGGCAGCAGGCTGTCTCCTCGCCGACCTGGCTGGCAGTCCCGCCCCAGGCAGGAGCCGGTCTCCCGGCGACCTGGCTGGCAGTCCCGTCTCAGGCAGGTGTCTGTCTCCCGGCCGACCTGGCTGGCAGTCCCGCCCCGGCAGGAAGCCGGTCTCAGACAGGTGTCTGTCTCCCGGCCGACCTGGCTGGCAGTCCCGCTGAGACAGGTGTCGGTCTCCGGCCGACCTGGCTGACAGTCCCGTTTCAGGCAGCAGGCTGTCTCCCGGCCGACCTGGCTGGCAGTCCCGTCTCAGACAGCAGGCTGTCTGCCGGCCGACCTGGCTGGCAGTCCCGTCTCAGACAGGAGTCGGTCTGGCCGACCTGGCTGGCAGTCCCGTCTCAGACAGGAGTCGGTCTCCCGGCCGACCTGGCTGGCAGTCCCGTCTTAGGCAGGTGTCGGTCGCCCGGCCGACCTGGCTGGCAGTCCCGTCTTAGGCAGGTGTCGGTCGCCCGGCCGACCTGGCTGGCAGTCCCGCCCCAGGCAGGAGCCGGTCTCCTGGCCGACCTGGTTGGCAACCCCGTCTCAGACAGGAGTCGGTCTGCCGGCCGACCTGGCTGGCAGTCCCGTCCCAAACAGGAGTCGGTCTCCTGGCCGACCTGGCTGGCAGTCCCGTCTCAGACAGGAGTCGGTTCCCTGGCCGACCTGGCTGGCAGTCCCGCCCAGCAGGAGCCGGTCTCCTGGCCGACCTGGTTGGCAGTCCCGCTCAGACAGGAGTCGGTCTCCTGGCCGACCTGGCTGGCAGTCCCGCCCCAGGCAGGAGCCGGTCTCCTGGCCGACCTGGTTGGCAGTCCCGTCCCAACAGGAGTCGGTCTCCTGGCCGACCTAGCTGGCAGTCCCGCTCCAGGCAGGAGTCGGTCTCCTGGCCGACCTGGCTGGCAGTCCCGCTCAGGCAGGAGTCGGTCTCCTGGCCGACCTGGCTGGCAGTCCCGCTCCAGGCAGGAGTCGGTCTCCTGGCCGACCTGGCTGGCAGTCCCGCTCCAGGCAGGAGTCGGTCTCCTGGCCGACCTAGCTGGCAGTCCCGTCTCAGACAGCAGGCTGTCTCCCGGCCGACCTGGCTGCAGTCCCGTCTCAGGCAGCAGGCGTCTCCCGGCCGACCTAGCTGGCAGTCCCGTCGACTGGCCAAACTGGTGGCAGTCCCGCCTGAGCACCGACGCATCACTGGCTGGGGTTCGGGTCTGTACAGGGTGGGAGGCCCTGTGCCGGAGGTGCCGTCCCATGTACGCCGCATTACGTCCAACCTAACCAGAACTCAGTGTGTTCCAAATAGTGTCTCTGACACGGAGCCTCGCCCCGACCACGACTTGCTGCTCAGCCCCTCCCCCCCCCCCTCCGGTGTGGCAGAGTTCGGAGCCCTCCCAGCTCTGGATGTGGTGCTCATGAGAAAAACAAGCCAGCCTGTTATCGCCCATTGGCACGAATCTTACCCGTCATCGCCCATCGGAAATGAATCCTGTCTGTCGTCGTCCATCGAGTGCGAATCCTGCCTGTTGGTGCAGCACCACTGGATAGTGCGCATCGCCCTGGAAAGTGTACAATCATGGCGCCTTTTGCGAGCCTTGGGTCTTTGAACAATACCCATTTGTCGTCCAGATAGCTACGTCGGCGTGTGCTTTCGCGTGAACTGAGCTCTGCGCTTTCAAGTTTTTGTTGACGTTTTTCATTTCGCTGCAAACGGCTTTTGGTGCTTTTTTGTCACGTCCAATTAGCATGCCCTCTGCCCCCTGAACTGCACTTGGCGCGAGTTTTTGCTTTGTATGCGAACTATCCCCTCCCCCCCCCCCTCTCCCCTAGTCCGCTATCTCGAGCATAGGCACTTCAACGATGGCTTGCAGAAGCTATTGTATTCCATTTGGATGGTAGTAATTAAGGTTCCTGTCCCGAGTGGTGAAGGAACCCGATCTCCAATGAGATGAAAGGAACGAGAGAATAAAGACGAAGCCAAGGAATTCACCGTCTGCAAACCGCGAATTGGCTCACCTGTTGTTGTCGGCACTGTCGGCGCATTGACACAGCCAATTGTCAAAGGCAAATGTCACTGTTCTTGTGCCAAACGGTCGCAGCACCACTGCATACTCGTACGGCCACTGCCACTCCCTGTCGGACACAGCCCCACTGGGCTCTCGAGTATGCTGATAGTGTCTAGTTGCCGAACATTCTACCATCACCCCGCCGTGACAGCTGCCCCATGCAGTGGTGCCGCACTGCCACACCGCTGACCTCTCCGTCTGTCGTGCGGAAGCCCCGGCCGCACAGCCGCCTTCTGACTGCTGTCGTCCTGACCGGCCGTCATCTGCCGCCTGTCTGTCTGGCCAGCCGCCGTTTGCCGCCTGTCCGCCTGACCGGCCTCTGTCTGCCGCCTGTCCCCTGACCGGCCTCCGTCTGCCGCCTGTCCGTCTGAGTTCCCCTGACGGGCCGCCCTCTGCCGCCTGTCTGTCTGACCGGCCGCCGTTTGCCGCCTGTCCGCCTGAGTTCCCCTGACCGGCCGCCCTCTGCCGCCTGTCCGCCTGACCGGCCGCCGTCTGCCGCCCGTCCCCCTGACCGGCCGCCGTTTGCCGCCTGTCCGCCTGACCGGCCGCCGTCTGCTGCCTGTCCCCCTGACCGGCCGCCGTCTGCCGTCTGTCCGCAGGGCCCGTACAGCTGCCGCTACTGCGGCGAGACATTCAAGGCCAAGGAGCACCTGAACAGGCACGAGCGCATCCACACGGGCGAGCGGCCGTTCCCCTGCGTGCTGTGCGGCAAACGCTTCAGCCGCAAGGACCACCTCAAGATCCACGTGCTGATCCACACCGGCGAGAAGCCGTACAGCTGCACCATGTGCAACAAGCGCTTCACGCAGAAGCAGACGCTGATCGAGCACGAGAACGTGCACCTGGGCCGGAAGCCGTTCCGCTGCGACCTCTGCGACGCCTCGTTCCCGGCTAGGGGTGAGTCGGCCGGCGGAGGCGAGTGCCGGCTTACGTCGCCCTCGGCCGCCCCGTGTAGTGGCTCGTAGCGGCCGGCGGGTGTCGCCACGGGCCGGGCACCAGCACGGCTGCTGCGGTCGGAGCGGTCCCGTAGCTAGCGTGGCGGGGGAGCTCCAGCTGTAGCGGCTGCGTTCAGTAGCGCTTGCTGGCCCATGTAGCGGTGCTGTCACTGTTAAAACGTATTTCCTTCGCCTTTTACGAGCTCATTTCCACTAGAATTAGACCATACAGAACTAGTCAGCTTGGTGTAGAGTAGTGTAATCTGCACTGTTTCTGTGTGCCTCAGCGAATCTGAGGCACGCGCGTGACAGCCGAGCCGCGCGCGTGCCCTGTTTGGGCCGTGTGACGCGCCGCCGGTATGGGCGCCGCGCGGCCTCTCACCGGCGTCTTCCGCCAGGTAACCTCAAGTACCACAAGCGCAGCGTGCACGGCTGTGCCATGACCGCGCCCGGCAAGAGCGGCTCCGGCCTGGAGGCGGCCGACTAGCGGCGGCGGCGGCGCAGCGCGCGGGCCGCCACTCCGGTCAACGCCGGTCAACTTCGGTCCCGGACGCGTGGTCCGGTCCGGGGCGGGACGCTTGGTCGACGGCGCGTCCCGTCCCGCAGCAGGCAGGCATTATATACCAATGTACAACGCAACAAGGAGGCTTTTCGTTCACCCGGTTCGCACCCGACCATGCACGTACGTTTTAGCCCACCATACCTGTAGATAGGAGGCGGCGCGGCCGGGGCGGGCTCCGGCCGCGCCACGCCCAGTAGTACAACAGGCGGCGGCGGCGCCGCGCCGGCCGGCAGAGCGGCCCCTCCGGCGGCACCGCGGCGCTGGCGCGGCGGTGCGCAGCGCCGCGGCGAGCTGTCGGCCTCCGGTCGTCTGTGCGTGTGCGCGTGTGCGGGGTGACTGTGGGCGGCGGCGAGGGGGAGCGGCTGGAGAGGGGTGCACGGCCTCCAGGAGGCGCCCACCTGTGTGGGGTGCGGGCGAGTAGGGGGAGCTGGGCTTGGGGCGCCGGCGTGGCGGCCTGCCCCGCCGGCGGTCTGTATGACTGCGAATCCTGCCCAGGTGGCCGAAATGCCGTGGCGAATTCTTCTGAGGGCGGCGGTTCGGCCGTGGCCTCTGGTGCGCGCCAGGGCCGACCTGCAGGCGTGCAGACATCGGCCCCGCCCCGCCCCGCCCCGTGCGCTCCGTGTGCGTGTATCCGCCTGTCCGTTAGTGTGTGGCCTAACCCCCCGAGTAGGCGCGAGCATAGACTAACCCCAGGTCCTCAGCACCAGGCATTGAGTAGTAGCGTAGTAGCAGTAGCCGGTGCAGCCCTTCCGGCACCCGGCCCCGGCAATGTACCTCTGCCGTCTTCGGTGGCGCGCGAGGAGACGGAGAGACGCGGCGTGGCGTCGACAGAGCGGCTGCGCAGGACCCGTTTGCAATTTTGTGAAGCTTTACTCCCAGTCTTGGCAACGCTGTGCAATGGCCGATCGCTGTAACATTCCATAGACGGGCGCGGCCGGCCCGCCCGACAGTCTCGCAGCGAGGCGGCACGCGCACCCGCCCGCCTCCTGCGGTTAGCGTGCCACCCATCGGTGCTATCGCGAACTGCTCGTTGTGTGCGTCGTCAACAGAGGCCGGCACCGGCGCCGGCGCGCGCGGTGCAGCCGCAGGTGTCTGCAGTGTGCCGATATGGGGCCGGGTGACGGTCTGCTGGGGCACGGGTCGGACCCGCTGCCTGGCGCCGCTAAAGCGCAGGACACGCGCCGCCCCCAGTGCTTTACGGACGTGCCTTGCCGACGCGGCGCGCCGGCGCGCGGCGCGCCACAGCTTTACTGGGACGGGGCCGGCTGCCGCGGCAGGGCGTCTGCCTCCGGTGTGGGTGTGTGTGTGTTGTGGGTGTGGGTGGGTGGCCTCCGAGCCACATCCGCTGCGCGCGTGCTCTGGGTGAGTGTCTGTCGATCCCGCCGGCCGGCCGTGCGCTCGGTGTGGGCGGCGGTCGTGCCTGCTGTGTGCGTGTTCACCCGTCTGCCATGCAGTCTGTGGCGGGCTCAGCGCTCTCTGCGTCCCTGACCTCTGGCGAGCTGAGGCCGCCTGAGCAGCAGAGGTGCTCGGGCGGCCCCGGCGGACCGCGGCCGCTCAACGGAGGCCAGCCGTCCCGGTGGGACGCCCGCCCCCGTTCCCGCTCATCCGCCGTGCTGCCCCGGCCGACCGGCGGCCGGCGCGGCGTGCGTCCATAGTGCCTTATCCACGTCTTCCTCGGTGGCCAGCCGTAGTGCGGTCGGGTCCGGCCTCCACTCTGATCCGTTGTTAGTCAGGGCCGGCGCGCGCGGGCCGCGCGCCGGCCCGTCCCCTGTCCTGGTCGCGGCAGGGCCGCGCCGAGCGCTGGCCCCTGCCGTGGCCGAGCGGCGGCGCGCTGGGAGCCTCACGCGGCCCGCCGGCGCCGCCGCTGGGGCGCTGGTCGAGCAGCTGGTGCCACAGTCTCGGCGCCCTCGACATCCGCTGCAGCGCAGGGGCTGGTGAGGCTGGTGGGGCGGGGCGAACGGCGCCAGGGCATGTCTTGTAACTGATTTAGGGGTGAAGCTCGTCGATAGTGATTTTACGGAGGGATTTAGCGCCCAGTAGTCTACCCTGCAAAAGCAAAGTGAAGTGCGAAACTGAAAGGCAGGATCCACCAAGTAATGGAAGCAGCACCCTCATCCGGCTCATATTTTTGTCATGCGACCTGGGTTCGAGTAGTGTGTGGCCGCCGCGGCGGTCCGAGCGGCGCTGGTCTGCGCCACGCCCCTGCAGCCGGGTGGTGCGGCCGGGCGGGCGGGCGTTTGGCGCCGGCGGACTCTTCCTTTGCGCGGCGCTGGTCGGGCCGTGGTACGGAGAGTGCTGGCCATTCTCTGGCCCGCCTATCATTCGCGCTCGGCGGAACCCCAAACACATATTCACATGCGTAGATGCGCTCATGAATAATCACCTCCCCGCCGTATGTCGGTGACATCTGCAACTGTTTCCGTTCACCGATTTTTACCAATGACTTGTTACTGTCGCATGTTTAACGGAAATGATAATTTTGCACGAATATGTACGTTAATTTTCAGTGAGAGTGTATCTTTACAAGTATATATCAGCGTTATGATCGGTTGCAATGAATGTAGTCAAATATACAACTATATTACTCAAAACATGTTTTTTTATTTCGGCACGGCGTCTTAGCCAGGGTTTGGCGCCCAGAGAGCGTAAGAAGTCGGATTAAGGGGTTCTCGTGTCCAGTGTGTGTGCGTGTATGTGGGAAGAGTGGCATATATGATCCAAATTATGTGATGGTGTTCAAGGAGGTCTCTTATGGAAAGTGAACTATACACCGTCTTCCTGTGCAGCCAGGCACCATGGCGCATGACTATTTTGCCACACTCAGTACTGTCCATGGAGCAAATGCGAAGGGGCGAGCGACTGGCACCAAGCGACAGCTCCGTTTTGTCATGACACGATGTCTTTGTCATGGGTTTTCTTCGTAACAAAGCTCCCCGCGTACTTCTCGTGAGCTGACCTGAAGTGGGCAGTGATCACTTAAGTTATTTGGGGATGGACTTAAAGGACCTGGGCGGAGCAGGCAGGAGATGACAGCTGACCCGCGACACTCATCCCTGTAAGTTTGCTGCCGTCAAGCCTCAAGACATCGCACAGGCACGCTACATGGACACACGTGCGCTTGCTCAGCTTGAAACGATTAGATCGATGATTGGTGTGGGGTATGGGTGTTTGTCAAGCGACATACCAGAGCATCCGTGATCGCAGTTCATGCCACTGCGCGATGTGTTGGTGGATGGGAATCAGCGTAACTGCCGACGTGGACCAGCAGGTGCCAGCGGTTAACGCGCCAGGGTTGCACTAGCGGGCATGAACCTCGACGAAGTTGCCAGCAGGCGAGCGGAAAGCGGCTTAAAGACGCTGCTCGACACGCTGCCCGAGCCCGCACGGTCCATGGGAGAAGGTTCATCATTCAGTTTGTGATATCTGAATCTGATATGATATCTGATATCTGAATATTTTAGCGTCTGGTCTTTCAATACACAGAACTGATAGAAGATCTGAAAATATCTGAAAATTCAAAACATGATCATCATCGAAATGATCAAACTCACGAAAGGAAGAAAGGGCTCGTTGCGAGTATTATGTCCATCGGCAATGATCACGTTTACTTAGACTAAATCTACATGGCATTGTCATTGGTGCCTGTTGCTGAGATGGCCCTTCATATTGGTCTACAGGTAATTACTAAGGAGGCAGTTCCCTGTCATGAACCGACCAACAAGGCCGGCTACAAATGGTGAAGACATTGACGCATGGAAATTATATGCGTTTTTACGAAACGGATGCTTTTGTCCTAGCATGGGCAGCAAACGTCACTTTACTGGGATTCCGCAACTAGCATTTGCACATTCACACCATCCCACGCATGCTTGTCACCGATCATAATAAAGGGAGGCCTGTAGTGTGGCCGCCACACACAGTGTGCGCAGGTTAAATGCAACGATCCGACCCCCTCAACTATGAGCGGAACCTTGCAGCCCACACCACTCACACCTCGGGATTTGTCCACAGTGAATAGTAGCCACCTGCTGCAAGGCACACCGTGGCATCACCACGTGGCCCCGCCTTCTCTCGTCACGGAATAATGCCGGAATCCCTCATCGGCACGCCGGAATCCCCCATCGGCTTATATTCAGTCGCCAGAATATAAGCACGCCGGAATCACACCTTGGCACGCCGGAATCCCTCATGGGCTCTGAGGAGTCATAACACAAAACATCTGTGGCTTATTTAGCCCGTAGTGATAAACATCCTTTCATTGCACTCGTGGGAGATTCACGGTCCCCCAAGCTGTACGCAGTATATAAGCTATGTAAGATGACTTGACGTATAAGGTGGACCTGACCGCGGCGCGTCATATTTCCTGGCACAAAATTCAGGCCACGCACTATCCATTGATCTGCTATTTCCCTACAGACTGTGCGTTAAAACACATAGAGAAATACCAGACAGGGGTGGGCAAGCCACATAACGACACATTAACTACAGATTGGTACATAGGGCATGTTAATTACCGCGGTACGATTGAAGCCGAAAAGAGCGCACGAGCGGGCGCATGATCTCAAATGACCCACAGAATGAGTCTTCGTAATCACCCAAAAAGGGGGAAAGGGCCCGGGATCTCAGAATCATCGAAGGGTCGGTAATTCCTCCGCCGGGCTTACATTATGAGAGATAAAAGCGCCGAGTGTCCAGCCGTCAACGCCCAGGCCGATAGGCTATGGACGTTGCCTGATCACTGTCTGAACGTTGCCATGTGCCGTTTGAACGTGCCCCGTACTCCGACGAGGCCGATGTCTTTGAAGGGCCGCCCCCTATTGATCGCCCTGGCACGCACGCGCGGAACGAGCACTTGGGTCAAACGCGACAAACAAAAACCGCACTCGCAATTGAAAAAAATAAAACAGCGTGTAACCCACGGCGGGTAGGTAGGCCACGCGCAACATCAAAAGCTAACCTATTCCATGCCGTCCCCGGAATTACAAAAAACACATGTCGTAAGAATAACCAAATCGCAGTAAAAAAAAAAACAGCATGTTGCCCGTGGAGGATGGATACGCCGCGCCCCACACCTTTTCACTGGGAGCTCTTCATAAAGCTGTGTGCCGCCCCCTCCCCTTATCACCAAAACTTTGGCCCCTCCTCAAGTATCAGACGGAGCTTGCATCATCTGATATAGGCTCTTTTCGGGCTTAAGTGTTGAGAAGGGCTGTGTCCGGACCTGCGATGCCCACTTTCTCAGTCTAAACGCATCTTTTCATGATCTACAACGGGCCTTACTTCAGGCTACGATGGGTCCTTTCCAAACATGAAAAGGTCCTTTCTGTGCTCACGATGGGCCCCATCCAGACCTGAGATGGACTTGAGTTTGCTATGGGCCCGTCCTGATCAGAGACGGGCCCTTTTGGGTATACAATGGGCCTTCTCAGACCGGAAAAGAGCTCTTCCCGAGCCTGAAACTGTTGTAGGGGTGCAGTATCCTGTCCGCTCTTGCTGTCCGTCCGAGCACTAAGCCAGGTATTACCGTGAGTATTTGCCCGATACTTCCGTAATAACAACAATAGCAACAATATAACGTCCGAGGCGTCCGAACACACCACACCCCCGCCGCGCGCCCCCACCCAGGGCCGACTCTCTCGCGCAACTCCACTTGCCTGGCGCGCAGGCACCCTAAACAAATGTCATACACCACAAGGGGTTTCCTGTCTTGAAACTGATTCTTCCCAGACCGGAGATGAGCTCTCTACGCTTACTTGGATGGCACACAATATACGAATCTCCTCTACGAATCCGCCAGGGGCCCCATTTGGGTCCCCTGGAATATGGCAGAAAATGTGAAAGGACATAGTTTTGGGCCTTGTCCCATACATGGGGGGACAGTCCGCCCAGCAAATACACCGCTACTGGCCTGGGCCTACGACGGGCCCACTCCAGACCAAAGATGAGTCATTCTCAGGCTCAAAAAGTGAGATGGGCCTTTTGCAAACCTACAGTTCTCCGTTCCTCAGCGCGCGCTGGGCCCCTGCCTGACCTGAGATGGGCCGTTTCTAAATTTATGACACACCATTTCCAGACTAAAGAAGACCCTATCAGAACCTACGATGGGCCTTTTCCGACCTGAGATGGGTCCTTTTTGAGCTTACGATGAGCCCTTTCCAAACCAAGGACCCCTGCATGGAAGTGGCATGAGTGTTTCTCCGGACCATTTCCAGCCTAAGATCGGCTCTTCACGGACACAAAGAGGTTTTTAAAAGCTTAAAATGGGCCTTTTCGGAATAGACATGGGCCCTCTGCGCTTGTTTTGGTAACACAGTAAGCAAGTACCACCAGGTACCCGATGACTCCTTGGCCCACCATAAATCACGGAGTTTGGGGTGGCAAAAAGATCTGTTGCCCCCTCCTCAAAAGAGAGGAGGGTAGTTTGTACCGCTGCCCCTCCACGTTCCCACTGCTGTTAACTGACGAACTACCCGGGAATTTGGTCTAGCTGCGAGCCCAGCGGGGCCATACTAATACAATAGGAAGCGCGACCAAAAAGTGCGACTTTTGCGTTACCGCGATCCAGGGAACGATGAAAAGAGCATCACCCCTAATTTCAACTCACCGTTGTACACGCGCGCTGTATTGCATAATAAACGCTTGGGGACGTCCTAGAAAACAAACGTCCTTTCAATTAATTAGATACTATTTTTGGGATTGTGGTGAATCACACAATTTTTTTATTTTCAAGCGTCACACTAGGTATGCTGTTTCCGTGTTTTTAATCAAAAGCAAAATATTGGAATACTAATGACGTCATATGCAAAAAGTGGCGTGGGTGCGCCAGGTTAGTCTCTCACGTGGCACCACCAGGATTCGCGTACAATCCGGGAACCGTTCTTTTGCGTCTCAGGCAGCGCTTGGTGTGGTCGGTCCTATCGATCGACTCTTCGCTTTAGAATTCGATCGGCTTTAAGAATGGCAAAGGTGAGGATACGTGGATGATATATGATGACGTTCGCACGAAGGATAGGGATTTGAGGTATAGTTTGTATTATTTTTCGGTTTGACTCCGCTGTAGGGTGTGCCATGTTAATTGATATAGCGCTGACCGGTCTGCGAACCACGAGGTCACGATGAGATCTCGTTTGGGGCAAATATGGGGTATACCTCCTCATCTAGGGCTGTGTATCATAATTTTGTGATATGGATTTTTCATCTCGACATTCAGGGCTCTCATGTATGTCGTGGCATACAGATTGAGCAGGATCTGGGATAATTAGCTATCAAATCATTTATGGGGTATGTACTATTATGGGGAATATTTAGTATTTGAAGGTACAGAAGCAAGTGTCAGATTTGATGAAATAAACCCACTTTAAATTTCTGTGAATTTCCAGGGGAAAATACTGCCTGAGAGCATGATTTGCTGTGCAGTAAATAGGCTTCTTAATGCATCATGGATTGATTGCATCAGCATGCTTTGAACAACATGGATAACCAGTGGACAGATGTAATATTTGGACATTGCATTCTTGAATACCAGGTGTGAATGCCCTGACAGTTGTTTTTATAGGCTTTGGTTGGGCATGGCTGGTGCACTGGCAGGATTTGAATGATATGGCATGAATGCTGAGGTGACTGTGAAACAGTTCCTGAAATACTCCCTCTGTTTTTACAGGTGTGTTACAGAAATCAGAGGGGCTTAGGTCTTCAGAAGGGCAGGGAGCATCACTGAAAGGGCTTCAATGCTGCTATCTCAGTTTAAAACCCTATATAAATGTGGAACACTCCCTTTAAACATTTGCCCCACATGGGCAGGTTACAGTCATATTTTGGGCAGGATGCTGGCTGCTCCAAGTATTTCATTGGCATGTTTTCCATGCTTTTCAGACTGAGGTAGAGTTGAGTAGGTTTGAGTGAGGTAGGTTTGCAGTTGGTAGGCATCCAATCATCTAAACTGCCCTGCAACCCCACTGTCTACCATTAGTGAATAAATTCCTCAGCTTAGACATTTGTTAACTGCGCATTAAAGGAATGTTGCCTATGTGGTGTGGTTTGTTGAAGTGATACATCTAAAGCCATTTGTGACATTCCTGTATGGAGACTGAGGAAATGAAAGGAACTGTTTTATTTAAGTGTTTAAGATCAGGATGAAAGCACCTATGCTAAGCAATGTGGTGAAATGCACTTGGGTACTTTCATTGATGCTGAAGTGTCAAACACATGCTGTATTCAAAGATCAACTTTCAACATGTATTATATGCACTCTTTGGAAAGTAAAATGAGATGAGAGTGAGTGCCTGATAAAAGGAATAAGAAGCTTGCCATTCCACAACTTGAGGCAGTGCAATGCATATTGATACACTAATGCCCAGAATAAAGGCTGGCATATAGTGTTTAATAATTTTTTACTTGACAATGAGACTATGAAGATCTGCCTGTAGAAAACATACTTATCATTCCTTAATGCACAACCTCCACTTCAACATAACTAAGAGACATTCAACATATTGGGTAGGGTCCAGGACTTCAGATGCAAACAAAATACACTACCTTGAACATGTCCAATATAGCAGTGATAATCCAGAAGAAAAATCAGCATGGACGCTGTAAATTCAAGCACTTTGACTTTAGTGCATGATTACCACTAGTCCCAGCATGTGGAAAACATGTTTCATGGAATCATTAAGTTTCAAAATGATTATTAGGTGGTTTAAACTGCTAGACTGAATCTGATGTCATCGCAAGGAGGAAAACTTCCCAGTCAATGACGACCTTGGTGATGAGCTAGTTTTCACAAATAGGGGTCCTGGCTTAATGTTGCCTTAGCGTTGGTGTCCTCTTGTCAGCACCTTGACATGTGACTTGTCAGGGACTCATCCACCAGCAGCATCATGGCTCTGGGAATCATTGGAATACTACATTTGGCCATGTCTCAATGTGGGAACTACAGCAAGGGTATTTGGAGGAGTCAGAGCCACAGCATACTGCTGGTACCTCACTTAGACTTGGATTAGATATATACCTCTAGTTAAACCCACTCCATGTTCTCCTAATCCTGCTTAATTGAGCTGAATTTTCAATTGTTTTTTTTTCTAAAAAAGGTCATCATGTTTTCCTGGAAAACATTCCAGTGTCACAATACCTTGAAGCACTGGCTCTATGCGTTACATTGTTGGCAACCATGCAGTGAACATTGTGCTTAGATTTATGGGACACATTCATTGAAATTATTGTCATGTCATTACTACTGGTGTAAGGCTTGTTTTTTGCAGGCTGGATTTCAGGAAAATACCCCATAGAAATTCAGTCCAGCAAAATCATTTGAAAGTTTGGTATAATTTGGCGAGTTTGGGTTCTGTGCACCCATGTGCCATGTTTCATGATGGTGCAATTTTTGATATTTGTTATGCAGGATGATGATCCAATTAATTGCCTTATAATGCCAAGAAAGTAGCATTTTTAGAGAAGATTGGAGGATATTTTAGCACACAAGAAGCAGGTGAAATGTGCCAAGAGTAGTTCTCTTAAATCTTAATCAGTATTGATTTGCAGCACACGTCCAGCTGCCCCTGACATTAGTATCACATGTGTATCACAGGCCTACCAAAGCCTAGCGAGCCAGCCATTTTATCCCTGGCAGGCACGTCAGGCTCAACCCGGCCTCTGTTGTTGCAGGTGCGCCCGTCGTCGGCGCACTCGGTTTCCAGTAACACTCGGTCAGCCTGTGCACGGCAGCGGGACACTCGGGCTTGGGGCCGGGCCCGTCACTTGCCGGCCGTCCGGGCCGCCCCCGCCCACGGCCGCGCCGCCTTCCCGTGTGGGTGCCGAGTGTCCCGCGCCCGGCCGCCTGCCACCCGCTCGTGCGATGACCCCATGTGGCAGACGGCGCCGCGCCGCCGACGGCCGCCCGCACACGATCTGACCTGACCTGACCGCCCTGGCGGGGGCGGCCGGCGGCGGCGCGGGCGGGCACAAGCATCGGGTGTAGTGTTCTGGTACTGGCTGGTGGTCCGACCGGTGTGGACCGCGTCTTCGGACGGAGGCCGCCCCTCCGAGTGGAGGTCGCCTCAGCTGTGCGTGTGGATGGGTGGTGCTCCAAGAAGCGGGCAGCAGATGAGGTGCGAGGAAGGGGCGAGTCGGTGCACGTGAAACGGTTTTCACAGCGATTCACGACTCGCTCAGCTTCTTGCTCTTGTCCCCATGGAGTACCTGAAGATGCCTTCCTATCCATCAGCATTCAGGAGATACGAATGTCTGTAGCCAGAAGGTAGAAAGCCATGCTGAAATAAGTCATCGGGCATCACTACGCCATGTCAGCAGCATGACAGTAGCAAATAACTTTGCAACAGTCACAGTTTCACAGACAAATTCGCCCAAGCAGTGAAATGTGCTTGCAACTATTGCATTTCATGTATTGTATTCTTTTTGCAGGATATTGTGGGCATTCCCAGATCATAACAAATAAAACCATGCCCAAGGATTTGGCTATCCTTGCATGCCATCCCCTGTAATGTGAAGCCCTTTGGATGCCATTCCTGCAAACAGGGGTAACCTTTTTCACGTTCAGCTCGTGCCCCAGCCTTGAATGCAAATAATGCTCGCCTTTGTGACATCCAGGCTGCAAAGACGCCCGTGAAGATGGCAGCGACTCCGGGAGGCGGTCCCAAGACGCCAAAAATGAAACAAAACACACCGAAAAGCAAGCCGGGCACACCCTTTCCCAAGGCCGCCACTCCCATGAACAAGGGTGCTACTCCGGCGGCGAAGACCCCGAAGAACAAGACTCCCAAGCCCCAGCAGGACACCCCCATGCCACCCAAGACACAAACGCCGAAGAAGCAGAAGACGCCGCAGCAGCAGAAGACGCCTCAGCAGCAAAAGCAGTTGCACCCGCCCAAACAGCAGCAGAAGTCTCCCAAGCAGCAGAAGGTATGTGATGGTCTCTGTTTAGGTATTATCCATGCTACTCACTGCCTGTCCCATTTATGCCCCAGTTACAGCATGTGTGCCAAACAGCATGACCACTTGAAAAGGATGACACCTTTGTTTGCCCAGAAAATCATACTTTGTTATCCATTTGTCAGCTTTGCCTGTTTGAGGGACTGGCTCACCCGACACTAACTGGCTCATCTGATCACGACATTTATTACTCAATGTTTGTTTCATATTGCGATTTGAGACTATATTTCTGCATTGGGGCTTAGGTGGAGTAAACTTTCTGTAAAGGTAATGTGTCTTACTCGGAGGTATCGAGTCAAGCATGATGTGATGAAATAAGCTCAGGTGTAATGCTTGGTTTGGTTGTAAGTTTTGAGGACTGTTCTATACAAAACAAAAACACTTTTTAGTAAATGTGCCCAATAATATGTCACTGTTTGATCATGTCATGAAATGTTTGTGTGATGTCGGAGTTGCTGCCAGACTGTCCATGCGAATTTGTCACGGTAGTGGACGGGCTGCTACACTTGAAGTGCTCCAGCTTGTCGGGAGGTGGCGTGCTAAATTCGCGTGGAGCCCGGATAGCGTAATGCTCGCGTGTTTAACCCATCGTCGTGGTTCTTTTGCATGCGTTTCGCCATTTTATATTTTTACATGCATGCGCAGAGTCTCACGGTGGTGGTTATTTGATTCCCGGTCGCACATCCGTCGTAAGTAATACCAATGCTCACATTTCTGTTTTGATAGGAAAAACGTCATTCATGTTCAAAACCTACTCCGAATGCATCACATCGTTCGAGGGCCAGCTGAAGTCTGTTCGTGCCAGAAATCGTGCGGACACAAATAATTTGACGACCACGTTTTCGTGACCTAGAGCACTTCATGGCCAATGAGGATGGCAACATTGACGTTTGGTTTTGTAGGGCGTCATGTATGCCTGGATAGCCTTGCAATAGTCTGCACGAAATAGTTTGCGCAAGTTGACGAACGTCAAGCTCAGAATTGAGAGTGTTCTAGGTCTGGAAAGGGCATAGCTGTGAACTACACTGAACGCCCCGCAAAATATCCGTCCTCAGAGAAAATCATGTGCGAGTGTGAAACGCTCCCTTTAAAAGCTTGTTAGAGATCGAATTTGAACCCCGTATCAATGCTTCTGAGATTTGGGACACTATGCTATTCATGTTTTCATGTCTTCCGTTGTGTTCGGGCCCAACTGTAAGCATAATGATAATGGCTTTACGTCTGCTGGCTGGCTGGCGGGGTCATATCGAGCTGGAGGGCCCGACTGTGCTGTGCTGACGCCGTGCGCCGCTCTCCAGCCGCAGGTGAACGGAAGCCGCGAGAAGGCGGCGCGCGACATGCAGGCGCGCACGGTGCGGCTGACGTTCCCGCCGGGCACCCTCAAGTCCGTGGAGCAGGTGAAGAAGCTCGTGCCCACCGCCGCCTCGGTCAAGTTCCCCAAGTGAGTGACGCCGACGGGACGCTCGGACCTGTGCTTCTCGGGCAGTGTGTCCCGTGCGAGATATTGATGCGTGCGACATGTTCGCACGGGGCGAATCTTGTCTTTGTTGTTTTTGTTGTTGTCCACACAAACACAGGTGCTTGTTGATTGGGTGTGTATTGCTTGAAGCGGTTTTCAGCTCATGTAAAGGACGTGGTTTGCACCCGTGTTTGTGCAACACATTGTCGGACGTGTACGTGCCATCGTGCTTGGCTGGATGTGGTACACGCGGTGTACTGTCGTGGGATTTTCACATGGGCTGCCTATGTTGTATATAATTTTGTTTTACGTGTCAGTTGGCATCGTGCATGGTTGGATGTGGTACACGCGGTGAACTGTCGTGAGTTTTCACGTGGGCCTCCGATTACCGCATAGGCACATTTGTGGTTGATTGTGTTCAGGGTCTCGTTTGCATCACTCCATTTGAGGGGTGACATTTCGTTTCGTGAGGAGTTTAGTGGTGAAGCTGTGACGCCACGGCGCGGGCGTCCGATAACGATACTGGCCCAAGACGACAGCACTGCAATGGAGCCGCGCTTGTAGTGCCGTGATTTGTCTGCGTACCAGAACGTTATGACCGTATTGAAATAGAATCGATTGGTGAATAGCGACCCAAATTGAAAGCCATCGCAATGCTTCGGTTTTAGTCAGAATTAGCCGGCGTTTGGCTGATACCGCGCCGGTAGACGGCCACGTTTGTCATTTGTGCAAAGATAAAGTGGGCTTCATGGTTGGGAAGCCCACTATTGCGTTCCGTTGGCGTGCGACAGACGTCACACAAGGTACGTCATGGCCCCGCCTCTCTTCTGCAGTGTGGTGTTCGTTGAGTTCGCGTCGGAGGCCGAGACGGACAAGATGCACACCAAGCTGCAGCCGCTGATCGCGGACGGCCAGCTGAACCAGGTCAACTTCGTGGGCGAGAAGGAGCGCGAGTTCCAGTCGTCCAACCGCGGCATCGACAACACCAGGTGAGCCGCGCGACGGCTCGAGACTGCGAGACTAATGTGTTCAGTGGTGGCAGTTTTGGTGTATGAACTCCCAGGTCATACAGCGTCCAGTTTTGATACCGATGAGGCTCGTGATGACCTGCTAAGGTTGTGCTGTTGTTTCAAGACAGCAGAAACAATGTAATAATGCGGAGGCATATCAGTGACTCTAAATCTGCTGGAATTATTTGTGTAACAACTTCGCCATGGCTGGCATACTTTGAAACAGGCATTGTATTTTATTTTGTTTTCCCTCCTCGTGTAGTCCTGGGACGCTCCGGCTGATGTCGTGATTCGAACTGCAGTCCGTTTACTTGATTACGACCGAGAAAACATTAGCGACCATGATGCCCCGGATAACAATCTCAGCTATGATCAGTCTCGACAAAGGCACAATATCGTGTGTGCAAAAAAAAGCGGGGCCTAGATGAAAATTTATAGTAACTTATCCGAAAAAGGATTGTCTGTGTAACAACTTCTTGATTCGTACTCACATTCGAAAAACTATCCATAGCACAACCTGTCTAGGTGAAACAACTCTAGCGATGATCAGAAAGCAGCGACATTTTACGATCTTTTCTGTCGAAATACATTACATCCTATCTTACACCGGCAACGGCGTCCGCAGTACGCCGCGGACATT